AGGAAAAAGGGGCGTATCATCGGGATTGGCTCGGTTAACGATGTCCCTGCAGCGACATCGTCTTATCATCAGGAGCAGCACGATGTCAATGATCAGCTGCGCTCGGAGTTGCAGGCGACGCAGTCTCAAGTGACTTCGCTCACCGAGAATGTCACTTCTCTCACCGATATCCTCGACATTATGGCGGTTGGAAACCCGCGAGTGCATGAGCTGTTGCGTCAGAGATGGGAACGTGCAGGGATTCCAAGTACCCAACATCCTCCGCCATCACAGTCACAGCCGGCAACCAACTATGGAGAGGATTTGCCGAGCCAGGACGATGACCGGTTCGTTCAGCAATTTCACGACCAGCATTCGTAGTTTCTTTTATTTTTATTTGTATATTATGAATTTAAAAACTTTTGTATATTATCTAGTTATTTTTAAAATATTTTATTTTTTATTTTTTTATTTATAATTTGATTTTTTATTTTTAAAAAATCAATTAATTATTTGTAATTATTTTTTTAATAGGAAAAAAACATTTCCAAGCAAAATCCTCGTAAAATGTTCCAAGTAATATCCTCGTAAACAGTTCTAGTAATTTCCTCGTAATGTATCACTACGACCTTACGAGGAAATGTTTACTACGAGCTTACGAGGAAAGCTTACGAGGACCTTACGAGGAAAATATTACCACGCTTTTACGAGGAAAGCTTTCCTCATAAATTCGCTACGACCTTACGAGGAAAATGGATTTACGATGAACGTGTTTCGAGGAAACGCGTTTCCTCGTAAATTCCTAATAAAATGCCATTTACTAGGAACTAACGAGGAAAACCCGTCCTAGTAATGGACGAGTTTTCTTGTAGTGTTTAAAATATGTGCCACATGGTATTTTTTTTCTCAGTGGAAGAAAAAAAATTCTATTTTATTATATAAGATTTGTCGTTGGATATTAGTAAAGATTTAATTTCAACTATATTTTGTTATAAAAAATCTAGTTAAAAATAAGAGGTGGGTACGGCTCACAAATCCACAAAACTATCTCCATTAAATTATTTTATTTTTAAGAGCAAAAAATAGAATACCTCTACAGTGGAATTTTCTATTCTAATACTACTTTATTTTAGAATGAAAAAAAATATAGCAAAATACAAAAAAAAAATGAATTAATATATTTATGAAGTAAATCTATTTTTTACTCTATTATAAAGTGAAGAATATAGTATGGTTGGAGTATTATTATTTGAAATTCTATTGTATATTGAAGAAATAGAATGTGGTTGGAAATATTCTAAATAAACTTTATTTTAAATTTCTCGTGTTTGATTGCTAATGTCGCAAGTATTTTCATAGAAATGTAAACACAAATATAGATACCAACCTGGGTTCCTTCCCAAAGCTTCTCAAGAAGGTTCCTTCGAAAATCGAGTTCCACAAGATATTCGGGACAGAATGTACGAGGAAGACACTTTCTAGGGTATACCTCCCAACGTAATAACCTCAGACGAGGTGGAAAATCCATGTCCTCGGGTACATGCACCCTAACATTTGCATCATATCTTGCCTTGTATATGCTTAGAAATCGAAGATTACGCATACTTTTAAAAGCTCCCTCACGTATATCCATGTTGTCTACTATTGTAGATATATCCAAAGATATCCCCATTAAAGTTCTACTACTACTACCCTAAACCAAATTCAACATAGACAAAAAATTTAGAACAATAGGGTCAACAAATATACATACTGTTTTTTTTTTTTTTTTTTTAAAAAGAACTTACATAGTCATTTTCGAGGACATCACGAATCTCATCAGTATCTATCAGAATTTGGCGTTTTCCAGAATCTTGTCTTTGAATCACTTCTCTACCGACTTGTTGTAGTAACTTGTGCATCACTATTTTTCCTCTGGTGGACTTTAGTATGAGAGATTTATAGGCGAGTGTTTTCAACCCTAGTCTAACATCCAAGTTACTTTCTTCCAGCATAGCCATCACATGATCGTCATCTTCATAGTTGAAGAAGAATGCAATGAGGAGAAACAGAAGTTGATCGTCCTTATGTAAATTTTCATATCCGACTCTAAGTACTCCCTCGATCTTTTGGTCAAGGCTATTTTCTAGCCTATGCAGTATACACTCCCAGTCATCTTCTCTCTTTCCGCGTAAAGATGAACCCATCACAGATAGACCCAAAGGAAGGTTGTTGCAAAGCTTTGTTACTCTTTCGGTAAGCTTTTCAAATCCATTTGGTGGAAATCTCTGTCTAAAAGCATAAGTACAAAAGATCTTACGGGCTTCTACGTCACATGGAAAATCCACATGGTACGTTCTGTTGATACCATGCTGCTCCAAAATCTCTTGATCTTTCGTGGTTATGATAATCCTGCTTCCAGGACCAAACCAGTTAGTTTCATTAGCCAAAGCCTCAAGTTGCTGCAGATCGTCCACATCATCAAGAATGAGAAGAACGTTTTGATCACATAGCCTTTCTGGTATCGCACCTAAATGGTATATCCTTATACCATTTTGGTTTAGAATCTTTGAAAGAAGTTGCTGTTGTAGATACAGCTTCAACCCATACTCATCAAGACCACTGGGATAGCTTCCTCTAATATTTTCCATAAAGCAATTAAGTTGGAACCTGCTAGAGAGTCGGCAATGTAAAGCCCTGGCAATGGTAGTTTTACCTATTCCGGCAGGACCACTGATACCAACTATCATAACTCCATTCTCATCGTCTAAATGTAACAGAGATTGCATTTTCCCCAAGTGTGCTTCAAGTCCCACCATGTCGTCAAAATCCTTAGAGATTGTAGCGTTTAGTTTGTTTGAGACATCTCTAGCTATCTTTTCAATCATCTTGGATTCATTTTCCCTAGCAAGAGAAAAAAAAATCATTTAGTGTTTATTAAAAGTCATGTGAAAATGGTTTGTAGATTCCATTGGAGGTAGACTTGTTGTCAAATCTACCCAAGAAGCGCTAAGGCCAGGTCCATCGGTAAGCTCTTTAAGGAGTTCTTACTAATTAAGAAAAATGAAAAATCATTAATATTAGTGAGAGAATGTAGAAAAGGTACTTAAACGTCCACGATGAGTCCCGATTCCTCTTTTTTAGTGACATATGTCACTACAATATTGTGTGAGTTGGTGTTATAAAATTAATGCAAAATTAAATTATTATGATAATATTATTTTTTTTTGTTTTAAAATCTGTTATGGCTTACAACCGATGGAGTTGCTCTAATATAGTTTTTTTGCTATAATCTTTATTATTTTTTTGCTATAGTCATGTGAAAATGATTTGTAGATTCCATTGGGAGGTAGACTTGTTGTCATGTAAATCTAGCCAAGAAGGGCACATATTAATTTCTTTGCTATAATCTTTATTACCTTTTTGGGTTAAGCTTATTAGTGACCTATAATAATGTTTTCTGTAGAAAAACCTGAGTATTAGATAAAGTCTATAATTAAGAATAGTAAATTCAGATCTTTTAGCTTCACAAAGAAAGCATAAAGAAAGAACACAAACCAGTTTAGTAAGTGTTCTCCGGCTATGTTGCCAACATCGTTCAGAGCTTTTCTCCATCTTTCCATATCCTCCTTTGTTTTACAACAGCATGTTTCCTTGAAAACTTCCCCAAAATCTCCGGTCTGTTTCCGCACATGAGATGGATCTACACCGTAGAAGATCGTCATCACTATTTGTCCCATACCAGCTTCCTTGCACTTCAAAATTTCCACCAGCTCGTCCAAACACCAGCTGGAAGAAGCATAGTTCTTGGACAAGACCACGATCGAGATCCTTGATTCTCTAACCGCTTGTGTGAGAGCGGGGGCGATTGTTTGGCTTCTCTCAATCCCTTGATCATCGAACATCGAAATCCCATTGTTGGTGAACTGTTTACGTAAATGACTGAGAAACGTTTTGCGGACGTCTGGTCCATAGAAGCTCGTGAAGACTCGGTATCTCCAGGTACGAGGAGAGTTAGTAGATGAAGAAGAAGACATGATAGAGGCTCCTGAGTGGTCCAAAATTACAGATCCACAAAGGTTGAAACAAAACTGTATTTGTTTCTGGCAATGTTTATAATAAAGACTAAAGTGCACAAGTATAAGTCTATTGCTAGACCCCTCACTTCCCCATTTAGTACGAGAAACTAATTTATAATTTAAAGTTCTCATGATTCCATATTATACAATTCAAGACGTTTAAGTTACGTCACATGGCGAATAGCTTTACTCCTAGTACTCTAAAGCAATACATATAAATATGTGGTATGGTGAACATGAAACAAGGCCCATATTCCATAATGCATAGAGAGCTAAGTTTTGCCCAAATCTGCGGGAGGGGAAATTCACTGACATAGGCCATTCACATCATGCCACATCTATACAATTATCACATAGAAAGATAAAGCAGCTTTCTAATAACTTTTATCATTTCTATATCACGCACAACATAAAGTTAAGAGTGTATTCACACCTCATACCAAAACACTACTTCATAATTAGATAAATACCAAAACTTATTGTTCTATACTATTACAAACAGAATTAAAGCACTGCTACCCTTACTACATTTCTACCTCCCTAAACTCTTACCAAATTTTCCATAATTTTTAGGCAAAATTTGCTATGATTTCTCACCTCTCTCTCTCGTCAACAATATATTTTTCAGCCTACTTGTCAGTAACAGTAATACATTTAGAGAAGTTCCCAACCTTTCATCTTCCTCAACCAATTTTAAAATTTTAAAATCAGCGTACAAAGTCATATAGAAACGTAAAATTTGAAATCTAATTCTATTCTCCTTCAAATATACTCACATATTTTTTTTTGAAATTAATGGATTCAAGGGAAGAAGAACCGTGTGCAATCCGGCGAATCCTAAATGCTCGAGAAGTTGACGAAGTCGAAGTTCTGTGTGTGTCTCCTTTTGGGAAGTTCATCGACATTGATGATCAACTAACATTTTCTGGAAGGTTTGGTAGATATATTCTATCTCGACAGTTGAAGGTTGGGATAAAGCACGTACGGAACCATTTCTGAAAGGTTTTTGTGAATCTTATTTCTGTTTGATTCTGGTCTATTGACAAGACGATTACGCGGTTGACGATGAAGAAAAAGAGGGGGAGAAACTGAGGAAAGAAGATGTGTCTTTCATCGTCGTAGCCACTTTATTTTTGAATGAATGTTAAATTTATTCATCAAAAAACCTTTATACAACAAAGTGCATCCTTTATACTATAGGAGCTATACTCAAACTTAACTCACAACCATTCAAGAAGAAAAAGCTATTTACAATCTAGTTTGGAGTCAAAACTGCATTAGCTTCTCTATCCCATTTACTCTCTTCTTTCTCATCAAACTGATCTTATTAGGAATCCCTTTGTCAATCATTCTCTTAAATACTGGCAAAGGTAACAGCTTATCACCATGTTTAATCGTATTTCGCTCACGCCAAACTGCGTACAAGACAGCCTGGAATGCATATCTGATACAGAACAGATTCATCTTCTCCCTAGACTCGTCAGTAATGAGTAGCATGATCTCAGACCAAACATTAGTAAAGGAGTTGCATAAGATACCTTTGAAAAAGCATTCCCAAACCTGAGCAGTATAAGAGCACTCAAAAAGATGATCTCTTATTTCAGTGGCATTTTTACATAGCACACAAGTTGTATCAGTCCCCGGACTCCATTTTGAAACCCTATCCAATGTCAACATACGATCATGAATCGACAACCAAGTTACGAACGCAAACTTAGGAGTTGATTGCAAAAACCAGATGACACGAGCCCAATTGCACTGAGATTTGGTCTCCCTCAACAATGCCCAAGTTTCATGAGATAAGAACTTCTGCTTAAACCCTGAGTTCCTTCTCCAAAGGCAAATATCTTCTTTCTCCAAATTTAGATTAAGCTTAACTACACTCGGCTTTGTTTCAATCTCATTTAGCAACCCCCAACGATGTCTCCTTCTCCTTCTAGCAGTTAATACTGCTTCCTATACAGTCGCATCCTTACTCACCCCCATATCAATGATACCTGAATCACCTAGCAAGTCTGAAAGCACACCCTTATCTGACCACTTATCAAACCCAAAAAGAGGTATGCATCCCATTCTCCACTTCTTTCTTGAAACACAACTTAGCCACATCTCTCAACTTCAACATCTTGTGCCACATCCAACATTCCATTTGCGTTTTTGAATTTACCTCCCATTTTTTTTCCCTTTAAAAAAACTATCATTCATCCATCTTCCTGTGGGAACCGAAATCCACACTGTCGATTTTCCGTCAAATATGGAAACTTAGGATGAAACCCTAATTTTCTCGAGGCCCTGGATCTCTGCGGAAATCACTAAAACAAACGAATTTAATAGAATATGGATGAACAATGAAGAACAGAGAATAAAGAACTAGTATGAAAACTTTTATTAAATAAGAAATCGACAACTGTTACAAGAAGAATTGAAGAACTTAGACGTCGAAACGTTCTAAGGATCTGGATTGCTAGTCTAAACGCTAAGTCCTAAATTCCTAAGCTAACAGGCGTCTTTTTAGGTCTGATTTTCGTCCCCCTTCTCTTCCCTATGCCTTTGGCTTATATACTCCTTTCCCAAGCGACTCAATCTTTCCATTTTTCCCGGATTCGAGTTTATG